CGAATTTCACGGTATTGCTCATGGTATGACCCTATGTATGTGTGCAGGAATTTTTAGAGAAGATGAATTTAAATATAATAATTATGATGTGTACATTGTTCATTGTGTGAATAGTTCATTTTTTGTGATGATATTTTTAGTATTTTATTATTAAGAAAAAAATGATAGAGGGAAAATGAAAAAGAAGCTAATTTTTATTAATTTTGTACATAACCTCTAATTGAATTAAATATGTCACGCTTCGAATAACGTGATGATGCCCTAAATATTTCTGATGGATTTAAAACGTATAATTAGTTGCAATTCATCAATTGAAGGATCCTACCCTAATTTAAGAATCTGATTTCTTTCGATCATTCCTTTCGATCATCCTGGAAAGTAAAAATCGACTATTGATGCACCTTTAAAATATTCTATCCATATTCTTAAATTATATTTTTGTACTTTTTTGTACTTATTAACACGCAGGCATCAAAATTGTTTGAAGTAAGAAATTAATTTATGTTCGAATAAATTGTAATATTTCATATAACATTTTTAATTTTTACAATAACATGAATTAATAACATAAATATGCTAATTAATATATAATAATTGAATAAATTTGACACTTTAATGATTTGAAAATTTTTTAATAGAAATGTTAAAAATTTTTAATTTTTTAAGAAAAAATATACTTTAACCTAATTTGGATATTGATATAAAAATTAATTCATAATAAAAACAGGATATTAATAATACTACTAACAAAAATTTTTCTACAATATTCTATGAATATCAAAATATTATCGATATATTTTTTTGTTTTTTAAATTAACTACCTGTTTCTGTTTCCATATATGATGCGATCATCGCAATTAAAAACATTTCAAGAAGTCCATGCGTGCGTGCACATGGAACGCGACAGTACCGATGACCACTCTGAGATACATTTATCTGCATACTAAATATGTATTCAATTAATTAATAGCTAAGCATCGTAATGTTACATACATAAATAGACTATGCCATATGGGATATTCAAAGTGACAGAATAGCAGATATAGTACTGCTTTTAAAACAAACACGTGCCTGTTAATTAAAAAGAACAGAACTTTATTACAATGATCTATCTCAATGATTGTGTTACAATGTAATTAAAGGAATTGGATATTCTAGTTAAACAGTTGGATATATATTTGTGCAAGTCTGCATTCTGGAGGATGTAACAGAATGAATGATAATAATATATAAGTGGAAAGTGAGGTTATGTGTAAAAAAAAATTATTCGAAAAAAGAAAAAAATTATTACTAAATATTATATTACATAAAATAAAATCTAATTTTAATAATTTTTTTATTAATGATTTTTTAATTATTTCATTGTTACAGAAAAATTATTTCACATAGCATAGTTCAAGAGATCGAATGATTTCTCTTAAAGTTAAAATAATATGGATTACAGTCATATTCTTTATATTTTACCGACATTCCAATATAGCAATGTTGAATTGATGACGAAGATATGTACATATTTAGTTCACGAATAATCTTTCCTGCACAAATATTTGCTCCTACGAGGGGCTTACTATGATTGAATGCATTATCAGAGGCAAATGTTTGATAGCTACTTACAATGATACATCAGTATAATTACAGCATGTAATGTAATGTAATTAAGTAACACAAGTTAACATGATCATTTTAAGATTATAAAATTTTTACAAAAACTTTATTCTTTTAAGTACATTTATTTATCATAAAAATTTATCAATTAATATTACTTTATGTAATAACATAGATATGTACAGATTACAGCATTAATCATAATATATCTCGCGTATATAAATTCCTTTAAGTCTCTTATTCTTATCTCGAAAAAAAGGTCGAGAGTAAATGTTCAGGTTGATTTCTTACTAGAATAAACATACACCTTGCGCATTTCTCGTGTATACACCCGATAGGAGAATGTACCCTTAATCGCCTTTGTGTTCATTTTCTCTGTAACCTAAGGTGAACGTCTTTGTGCCCCCTCCAGAAAGCACGCGCCAAAGATATATCTCAATGAATGGACCCCCCATACCTCAGGCATACCTCAAGCTGCTCCACAACCGTGATTTCAATACAACCTGCTTCCTTCTATGTTTGTATGTGACGTCATAATTCTTACAAACGCACATGTCTTCGAGACAGCGTGCTCAAGGTGCATATGACGTCTTTTACTGATACATTGGCGTAAGACTTGTTATAGCTTTTATGAACTTATATTTTACCTGAAAATAATATATTCCTCGATGAATATTATTTATAGATGTAATCGAATAAAAAAATACTTTAAAATCTATAATCTAGTTATTAAATTAAATACGTACTATCAAATTTTATTATTAAATTTAAAGATATTAAAACATATAAAAAAAGTAAATATAAGGATTTTTCCAAAGAGGAAAGTAAAAGAACAAAAATAAATTAAATAATACATAAGTATCTATTTCCAATATGTTCATCAGCAATCGCAATCCAAATTCCAAAAGCAAAACTAGGAGAGGTATCTAAGCCTATGTGCACACTCCTGTCCTTTCCGTAATCGCAGTACAGGCCATGCCATGAAGCCACGGTGGTCTTTCCTCTGGACTTTTTTGTGCTGGTGCATTGTCGGAATCAAGTTGCAGCTGCCTGCAGAAGAACCCCATACGCGCCCCCATAAGAGAGCCACGTCATACCACCTGGCCCTATCTGCATGTGTGTATATGAGGGGGTCGTGCACCCCCCTTGGAACTTTAGGTACACCGGGCTCCATCCTCCGTATGTATTCGTGCTCACACGTGGCATATACTATAGGCCACAAACATGTCATCTTTTCTCTCTGTCGTCGGGTCGTTCGTGCACGAGCTGCAATGGCACGTGTGCATTTTCACACACCAGAACACCGAATACGCATGAATGTAAGTAATGCGCGTGCGCGGTTTAACCTATCGTTTCAACCGGATTTGTTTTGGCACACCTAGGCGTAAAAGGGACCAGATTTTTACGCTCGAAGGAAATTAAGGATATACGACCATCCTTATGCGGATGAAAAAAGATGAAGAGTGAGAAAGAATGCGCATGAAATACATTTTTGATGGAGTAGTTGATTATTAAATGAATATTATTATAATAGAATGATTATATTATATAATGAAAACCATATAGCAGATCAATATTTTTTTTACAAATTTTTATTTAATATTGAATAATTCAAAATTACAATCAATCGTTTCTGTAAATGAACGTTTCGAATCTTGTTTCAGAATTCGCTATCGCCTATCCTGTAAAATAAAATCGAATTTTCTTCCATGCGGATCCGTCACACAGCTTTAGTCGTTTAGGTTAAAAGTTACACGTAATCAAGCAACTTTCCTTCTTTCTCGATCCACGGTGATCAAATATAATTATCGCGACATCAAACACATACGATAGTTTACCGAATCCTGGTTTGCAGAGGGTGTCGTATGACACGATAAGATAAAGACATTGTACGAGTTCATATATAACAATGGAAAATAGATTCATGACACTTTGCATTATAATTGATAAATATACCACCACCTGCGCCACCTTTTTTTTTTTTATTTTTATGGTTTTTAAAATGTAATGGAGACTTAAAAATGGGGTGATTGCATATCGTGAAATAAATTAAGATAATATAATTTTAGCATATTCTTGTTTTTGAGATAAATAATTTTTAATGAAATAATGAAATTATTAATATAAGTACGTATGTTAAATTAATTTATTATTAAATCGATAAAAATTCTCATGAAGTACAATTTACAGAAAAATTTCGTTGAAACGTGAGAAAGAATTGCAGAACTACTTCGATTAGCCGATCGATTTGAATTGTTTTACGATGAGGGGAGAACGCGTGCCTCGCCACGTGCTACCTGATCTTATCTATGAAAATACATGAAAATAAGCTATGCATAGCTCACCATATCAGCACGAGATGGTGACCATAAGTGCATGGGTAATAACCAATAGATTTTACACACTGATTAAAAAAAAAAAAGGAACGATATCTATTGACGAGACACGCTTCTGTTAAATATATCTAAATGTATTCATAGATTTATAGAATGTATTTGGTATCAACCTAAACTTTAAAATTATTTAAAAAATTATAACATACAAATATAAATATTATTAATATTTTCAAAAATATAATTTATTAATCATTTATATTTATTGACATTTTGAAAATATTCAAATTAATAATATTACATAAATTGCACAAAATCTTAACTATCTATAATGGATATCTCTAGAAATTTGAAAAATTTATAAGTAAAATGAATAAAAATAAATTTCTCGAAAGTTTAAAATTTATAATTGTTAATCTCATTAATCTCATCAATCTATTAATCTTAAACTTCGTTAATGCATTGTACATACAATTTTTCTAAAATAAAAATGTCGCATAAATGCTTTATGCGAGAAAGAAATGCAATAAAATATAGGATTAGTGTTTGCTAACTTTTGACTCCGCATTTCAATTTCTGCTTCTCTTTCATCACGCCCCACAATCGACTCCCTGACGCTGAAATCTCGAGAACACTAGATCGCGTTCACATTTCGAACCGCACATCCATTACGGTTGAACGTGCACAAGCTACGAATAGACACGCTTCACTCGATTGGCGCCGTTACGCCACCTATCCTCGAGGAACGAAGATGCACATGTACATGTTAAATATGTCGTGCTTTTGTTATTCATTGTGCGTGCTTGATACGCGAAAGAGTTCATGCACAGATGCGTAGGAATAATTCAAATCGATTAGAAAAAATCCTGCTACCTAAATCGATGTCTCCTCGTTTTTTTTTCTATTTTACTTTGAGTTTCAATGAATTTTATTTTTATTTTTTTTTTTAACATATTACTAATTTTTGAAGAACAAATCGATATTTTTATTTGATTTCTGAATGTAAAAAGTATGTATAAAATAAATAAGAAATATCTATCTTTTTATAATTATTTTGTAAAAAGTTAAATTATTCATAAAAATTTTTAATGGAAATATTTTTCGATCGAAAATTCAAATCTGAAATTCATTTTTATTTTTATCCGATTAATAATATGTGGTCTGCCTCTAGTCATGGGAGGTCATTGGAAGCTTTCTATAAGGGAACTATACCCACTTACACATCTGTCCACCAGCATCCCTTGGTAAATACGGCTGAAGAACACAGAATACGAACATTAGAAGTTCTATCATTGACCACATGCCGAGCGTGTCTGGCCACTGGTACTTTATATATTAATAACAAACGAAAAAGAGAAACATATACTATAGCAGATTAATCGCAGATTAGATATTTATCAAAAGACAAAATTAATTATGATACCAATAAATATGACAATTTTTATTATCAGAATAATTAATCATGTGTAAGTCTCTATAAAAATTACTTTTATAACCTATCTTTTATAATCTAACCTAAAAATTCCTCACAATTGATAAAAGTTTTAAAACGTACCATTTGTAATTAAATAATTTATTAATTTAATACCATAAATTTAATCGATATGAATAATATTCTATAATAAATTTCTTCGATATTCACAAATAATTTAAAATAACCCGCAGAATATGGATCGCATCGGGAATCTAAATTCTCGTACTTCACTATACTTATTTTATTTCTTTCAGGGAATGTATTTGGCCAACCTTGGTTTCGTTAGAATGATGCTCGAAGATCACACTTAAAATATTCCTGAACGCATACGGGTGAAAACGCGAAGATACTTTCATAATGATTCGTTTTTTCAAAGATCTCAAAGTACCCATATTGCCTGTACGAAGATGCAGAGATACGGGTCCGATATATAGGACGCTTGTCACGCGAGAGATCTCGAGAATGAATCCAATTGTAAAGTTATTTCTTTTTTCAATCGAATTCCAACGGATCCTTTTCATAAAGGTTTGACTACCAGCATCGTTTTTTAAAGAAATTTTTTAAGCTAATCATTATGATTAAAAACATTATTCAAGAGTTTAAAATTTTAACATGTTTGAAATATGCAGGATGTCTGTTCTCATTCCTTCATTTCTCATGAGAAAAGAATTTATTTTAGATTGTTTGACAAAAGAAATAATGAAAAAATTGATAAATTGTTTTAATAAAGATAAATTTACGAAACTATTTATTGCCATGATTTTTATTTAAAATTTATAGAGAAGAAATCATTAAAGAAATCATTGTGATCTATAATTTCTATACTTGGAATAGTTTGAAATATTACGCATTTGACTAACACAGACAAATTTTATTTCAGATTTTGTTTGTATAAATATTGGTAGTAAATATTTTCGATAGATAAAGCGTTTTTCAATATTTTCTAGCATTTTTAAAAACACACAAAAATTTTGTAGCTTTATGTCAAAAGAATTTAAAAATTATATAGATATTTCTAAAATTTAAAAATTTTAAATAATTTATAAATATAGTAAGTATATTTTAGAAGAAATTTTACGAATTATAAAACTAAATAATTATTCTCAATTGATAAAATGAATAAAAAGCATGAAATAGAAAAAAATACGAAGAAAATTTTATTTAATTTTATTTTTTTAATTAGAAAAATAATAAAAATTGATAGTACTCTAATTTTATGAAACATTTTACATAAAATTCTTACGATAAAAAAAAGCAAAAAAAGTAATTATTTATTCCTATCTTTGATATTACATACAATGTAAAATATTTTTTCCTCTTAAATATAAATCATGATAAATAAAAATGTATCTTGAATTTTAAAGTTAAGTAGCATATGTTATATTATAAACTTTACACTCTAATACTTTATTATCTCTATTATTCTATATTAAATTTAGTATTTCAATTTTACAGTATTAAATTTTTTATCAATAATTTGTCAATTATTATATATTTAATAATTAAGAAACTACAAATACAGATTTCCGAAAATACTGCAAAAAGCAATTCAATCGATGGTTAATAAAATTGCAGTCAGAATCGAACCGTCAGACAATGATTTCCATTCGTTATAATATAAAGAAACATAAAATGGAACAAATTAATTATACTTACGTATTCATAATAGTTAAATCGTTGGAACGCCGACAAATATTCGCAGAGAAAAAGACTGTGAAAAATGTCAAAAAAAAGGTTAATATCTCCTAATTGTCTCGAGGCAAAGGGACAATCATGTCATGAAATGACCAGTTATTAACATCAAGTTATTTCCGGAGACGAGGTATTAAAAATTATCTTTCTTCCCTTTCATCTCTCTCTTCTTTCGCATTGTTTTTCGCTTCTTCTTTAAAAAAGAATTCCAAACTACCGTGAGCGACATTCATCCTCTCATAAAACTCTTTCAAGTGCTTTGCCAAAGAACGGTTATCAAACTGTTCGCACGAAGGTTAGAACCAGATGGCGCCCTCTTGTATACTGTGCTATATTCCAATATGATCCTTCAGTTCAATTTCTAACTAGATAAGTGGCGGGCATGCCGATCTAATTGCAATTAAAATTCCGGACGAAATGAACTTTTAATCGCGGGTTATTAATACATCGGCGTAGGATATACCAAGTTTCTACTATAGGGATTCTTTTTTTTTGAAGAAATTGTTGTTACAGCAATTTCTGATCATACTTTTTCCATGTTTCGTAAATGCGCAAAAAAGGTTAAAAACAGATTAAGATCGAATTTTTAGAATCCAAAACATTTTCGTTAACACAATCCATTAATAATATAATATTTTAGCATTATAATTACAAAGAAAGTAAATAGTATTATGATAAATAAATCATAAATAAATCACGATTACTGCAAATAATTACGAAGATTTTCAACAATAGAAATATTTATATAATTATAAAAGATCGATCTTAATCTAAGTTATATTTACATTTTTCACCGATTCTTTTAATTGGAAATATTAAACATACGATTATTTACAAAATTTTAAAGAATAATTTAATCTAATCTAATCTAATCTAATCTAACCTAATCTAACTTAACCTATACCTACACGTCGATTCTTTTAACAGGATATAAAGGTGCGAGAAGCGGAGAAAAAAAAACATGTATAAAGACTGAGAGGAGAGTATCAGTGACGAATATCGTTCGCAGCATTCGTGCGGGTTCGAGAGCATGGGACAGGAACACTGTAGAAAGTATATAGATAGGCAGGAGGTATCCAGGAAGGAAGTGTCGGGGTCGCTCTTCCGGACAGCTGCTCTGGATATCAGCGTATAGGTACTATGGTAAAGTAATCCACTATAGGACACCGTACAAGTGCCATTACTACCGGGGGTAGCAAGGGCTTCATTTAATACCGCGTAGCTCATAATTAGGATCTGGATAAATATTATATTTTATTCTCCTTTTCGCTCCCTTTTTTCCTCGCAATGTTCGTTGCTGGTTTTCTACTTTTGTACATTTGATGTATATGTCTGGATGCCACATTGTATAAGAAAGTTGAATATCATAAGAATCACTATTTTAAGTTTTTTTTTTAATTTTCTAAAATACATTTTATTTATATTCTTTATCATTATAAGTATTGAAAAATCATGAATTATCAATATATATATATATATATATATATATATTGATAGTTAATAATTAAAAATAATACTATGTATACAAATATTCTACGTAAGATAATTATAATTGTATGATGGAGAAATGAATGATGCAATTCTAATTATTAATTTCTTGTAATAAAGTATATTTAGAGAAAAAGAATATTTAATTTAATACGTTTGATTAAAAAAAGAATTGACAATAGATTAATGTAAATGTGAAGTATATTTAAATATTATTACAGATATTAATAGTATGAAAAAATTAGAAAGTTTGAGAAAACGGTTAAAACCTTCGAATTGCAATTTTATAGGGAAACAAATTCCCATAACTACATACACGATAAAAACCATAAACTCATCTATTTGTCCCACCTGTACAAGGAAGGTACACCCTCTTTTTAAACCATACATTGTGTACCATCATCCCCCTTTTTGTCGTGTACCGTGGGAAAAACACACATTTGTTCATCGATTGTTTTTCGAATCACCACACATAAATTTATTCAATTTCAATTAAATAAAAATAATTGAAAAATTAGTATTATCAATTTATTTCTTAAATATACTATACAATTATTTTTAGTTTTTAATTTTAATAAAAATCTATTTTAAAAAATTATTCTCCAAAATGAGCCCTTTAATTTATGAAAAAAACGCATTTGTTAATTCACTTTTATTTTCTTTATACTTCAATAAAATATCTTCCAAAACTAACAATTAACAAGCCTGAAGTAGCAAACTGGATTTAATTTAACCACGAGAGGTTTCGTCTATCTTTAGTCGTGGTCTTAAATTTTCTTAATTCTTAGAGAGCTTCTTTCATATGGAGCATCTGCATGGGTTCCATATTATTTAGCATGTTTAATAGATAATAGATATATAATAGAATAATTCGAAAATCGAAGGAAAAATGAATATAGATATTGTAACAAATATACATCCCTTGTGAACATGTATGTAATTCATAAATCTTGACAACACATAACTTCCTCCTACGAATCAATAAAATGAAATAGCGTACCGGTAAGACACGTCGCATCCTGGCACGTGGCAAAAGGGATCCCTTTACGCGTTTCCTCCTTGCCAACCATCAAGCTATACATAACGAGTATATTCGATACTGGAGAGCTCAGGTAGATATACATAATTTCGTACCAGATGCATCTTAAAGCTATAATGTTTCCTGAAGACCATCGAGTTACTATATCTTCCGCACGTGCCATTACTCCTATAACTTGATCAAAAAAACTTAAATTATAGTAGCCAACCGTTAAGATTAAAACCTAACCTTAATTTAAATTAATGACGATACTGTCCGATTTTCGACATTCAAAATGAATATTAATCGATATTATTTTTTTTATGCATTTTTATCATTCAATTATATCTTGAATGAATGTTATATTAATATTGACATTCATTTTCAATTGGATAACAAAAAACGAATAAAATGTAAATTACATTATAAACTATTCAAGACCAAGGATTATCAAGAACGATATAAATCAACAAATTAAAAATATTTGCAAAATGATAATTTTTATTAATCAATATCAAATATCTCAAATCTACCAAATATTTAAAATTTCTTGAAATTTCTCTTAAATGAATCCATTTCGTGAAACATCCTGTATGTAAACGTTAGCTCTCTGATAGTTACACTAGTTGAAACATTATCTTTGGCGGCAATCCAGTAGATTAGTCCTTAATGCAACTCCCTCACGACGACGTACAACCGCGCAATTAAACAAGTCTGAGATGAAAATTACCGGCGTGACCGCCACTCGATACAAATCTTATTACGTATACTTGTCACGTATATTGTCGTCTAGCACGAAGGCTCTCCACGATGATTACTTCGTGAGAACTAGCGCGGACTTATTTTGTGCATTCATCGAATCCATGATCCGAAATTTTTAAATCTCTTAATCCCTGGTAATTAAATAATCCATACGTGTAATAACATGAATATAATCGAGAAATATTATAATTTAAAAGAATAGCTTATCTTCATTTATTATAATTCTTATTTTCTTTTGATAAAAAGATTTGTTTATTCTTTAAAAGTTATAAAGAAAATTATTGAGGATCTTTGTTTTAAACACAATGGACATTTTTCTGAAAATTAGAAGTGGATGAATTTTTTTATTTTCAATGAATTCAAGTAGAAATAACGAAGATCTAACATTCTAGTAGAAGAAGAATTTCAAATAATCGTGAAAGAAGATTACGGGAAACCTTACGAGAAATTTCTTTTGAAACCTGAAGAAATTTTTACGATTAAAGTAGCGTAGAAATAGAACATGAAAATATTTGATATAAAATACACAATTATTATTATCAAAAAATAATTAAAAAACTCAGAATCAAACTTAAATTTTCGATATTTATGAAAGCAATTTTCACTTCTTATATTAATATTAATATAATTATATATTAATTATATTAAAATAAAATTTATTTTTTAATTAAGTAAAGATCTTAATATTTCAA